ACGCGACGTGAGCAGGAAGCTCGGACGGTCCACCGTCGCCAGGCTCTTGACGAAATCTCCGGGGCCACCACCGAGCGGGCTAGTGACGTGGTTGGCGCGCAGCCCCAGAGGGGTAGCCGCCCGCCACCCGCACCTGGTCCTGCACCTACTATGCAGGAGATTCACGCCAAGATAACGGCGCGCCACGCGTTTCTGGACGCCCGCATTAACTTGTCGGAGGAACAATTAAAAGAAGCCCGTGCGTTGAGTTCCGAACTCCGCGATGCCCACGCGGCAGCAGCGGTCGAGGAAGCTCGCGCGGTCAGCTCTTCGGACCCCCCTGTCCCCGCCCGCCGCCAGAGGCCGCAGCTGAAGACAGCGGCCACCAAGGACAGCACCAAGAAGGAGGGGAAGGCTGAGGGCAAACGTTAACTCCGCCGTCTGCTGATGACGCGTACTTCCGTGCGCCGCCTATTGTGGGTTCTACGGAATCAACTTTACTTTTCTGGGGTGCCGCCCGCGGTGGTCGCCGTTATTGTCTCTTATTCTTGGTGTTTGCTGGGTTCCGTGGGGTTTCAGGCATTGGGCTCAGATGGTGCATGGTCTTTCCTCCAGTACTGGCTAGTGCAATACTTACCACTATGGTTTGTTACGCTGCTATACCGTTGGGTTCTGTGGTGCTGGATGCTTTACTGGCGACGCTATCTCTGGGTGCAGTGAGGCTGGACACTGGATGTTGCCTCAATGGCTTCGGTGGTTCCTGTATACATGGCTTGGGCTTCGTTATCTATCCAATGGTGGATTTGCCTCTACTCAGCTTCAGTGGCGCTTCAGGTGGGCTCTACTATAGGAAACATCCCGCTGGTGGGACTTGTATTTCACTCTGGCTGGAGCCCGCACTTGGGTTTTCTGGTGCTGGTTACTCTACTCTGTGATGGTGCTGGTTACCCTGCTCAGGTGACGGTGCTGGTTACTCCACTCAGTGAATGTTCATTGGCGGGATTACCTTTGGATACACCGCTCAATCAGTAATGAGTGGTATCGCTGCTTGGGAGCTCAGGCAGTTTTATCCTTGGGTGTGGCCGCTACTTGGGTTCAGTGGATTCGTTCGGTGCCCTCCTCCTGGTGTGAGTCGTTCGAGTCCCCCCTCCTGGTACGAAGCGTTCGGGCCCCTCCTCGTTGTCTGAGTCGTTCGGCGAGGGGCCCGAACGACTCGCGCAAGGAGGGGCCCGAACGACTCGCACCAGGGCGAGGCGCCCGGCCCGAGGTGGTCGCCGTTATTGTCTCTTATTCTTGGTGCTTGCTGGATTCCGTGGGGCGTCAGGCATTGGGCTCAGATGGTGTATGGTCTCTCCTCCAGTACTGGCTAGTTCAATACTTACCATTATGGTTTTTACGCTGCTATACCGTTGGGTTCTGCGGTGCTGGATGCTTTATTGGCGACAATACCTCCGGGCACAGTGAGGCTGGACACTGGATGTTGCCTCAATGGCTTCGGTGGTTCCTGTATACATGGCTTGGGCTTCGGTATCTATCCAATGGTGGATGTGCCTCTACTCAGCTTCAGTGGCGCTTCAGGTGGGCTCTAGTATAGGAAACATCCCGCTGGTGGGACTTGTATTTCAATCTGGCTGGAGCCCGTACTTGGGTTCTCTGGTGCTGGTTACTGTACTCTGTGATGGTGCTGGTTACCCTGCTCAGGTGATGGTGCTGGTTACTCTACTCAGTGATGGTTCATTGGTGGGATTGCCTTTGGATACACCGCTCAATCAGTAATGGGTGGTATCGCTACTTGGCTACACTGGGAGCTCAGGCAGTTTTATCCTTGGGCGTGGCCGCTACCAGGGTTCAGTGGATTCGTTCGGTGCCCTCCTCCTGGTGTGAGTCGCTCGGGCCCCCCCTCCTGGTATGAATCGTTCGGGCCCCTCTTCGATGTGTGAGTCGTTCGGCGAGGGGCCCGAGCGACTCACACAAGGAGGGGCCCGAACGACTCACACCAGGGCGAGGGGCCCCAACGACTCACACCACCTCTATTCTTGTCCAGGACTTGCACACTCTGAGTGCCGTGATTCTACCCTTGCCGAACGGAAGTCCTCAGATCTGTTCGGGGGGGCCGATCTTGGAGGCGAGTTTTCCCTTCTGCTCCTCTTCCTCCTCTCCCTCCTAACCTGCCGCCTGCTGCCCGCGCCCAACTTGATTGGCGAACCTGCCTCTCAGGTGCAGCTCAAGCCTGCGAGCCTCAGCAGGGTACTGACTTGTGCCCCGTGGGCTCCGAGCGAAGCAAATAAAGAAGGGTTGGCGGTTTACCGCCGGCGCCCAGTTGCAGCCAGTTCCGTGGGACGCTCATTGCACAACTGGTCGGGAGAGATCGCTGGATCGTCGACGTCGTCGTCCATTGAATCGTCGTCGTCGAAGTCGTCGTCGTCATCGTAATCGTCGTCGTCGTCGCCGTCGTCGTCGCCGTCATCGTCTGAGACGTCGCCGTCATGTGAGTCGTCTGACGCGTTCACGTGTATGACTC